TACTACCAGGAGTACACAGCATCGCTGGACATTTGAATGGCTTCATTTAATTTTTGGCTTATTCATTGTGTTTTAAAAACAAATCTGGGGGAGCTATTGTTTAAGGGATACAGTCTCAGTTTGGCATGATGAAAAAGATACGGAGGTGGAAGGTGGTGATGGTTGCAAATAATGCAAATGGACTTCATGCCACTGAACTGTACGCCTAAAAATGGTTAAGATGGCAAATCTTACATTATGTATATTTAACCACATTTTTCTTAAGGATAAGCCCACAGTAAATTGTAAAGCACACAGTCACGATGAGGCTCCATCTGTAGCAACCCCATGATACAAACTATGGGTCAGAGGTGAGGCCAGGAGGCAGAGGGAGAGGGGGAAAGGGAGGGCTGGAGCTGGGACCCTGGCAAAGAACTCGAGGAGAGAAGGGTTGGGGAGCCTCAAAAAGAGGAGGGGCCTGGATTAGATGTGGCCCAGAACAGGGAAGGGCTGTGAGGAGGGCGAGGTCCAGCTGGCGGGCTGCAGGGTGTGTCTTCTCAGGAACTGAGCTGGGAGCAGCTCAGAGTCCATGCTGAGTGCACACCTTCCTGCAAAGCCCTAGGGCACAGTCTCAGGCAGAGCAAAGGTCGGCAGACATGGACTGGGCCTAAATTTGGGATATCTAATCTTTTGACCTGTCCTCTACATCAAGACAACTTTAGAGGTCCAGGCCCAATCCAAGCCCCATCCCACAGGAACGTTCTTTTCCATAAGAGAACTAGGACGGCCAAGCTCAACCCCGAGGCTGAGGCCAAACTAAGAACCATTCTGACTGCAATAGGACAGACAGCAAATCCTGTGGATCCACTCACAAAATAAATGCAGCACCTCCATCACCTCGTTTACCACCTCCAAAGTCTGGCCTCTGCACTCAGCTACTGGGAGGTAACCTCTAGACCCCTGGAATGCTCTGCTTGATAGGAGTGTCCCTTAGTCCAGGGACTTCAGACATTGGACTGTCTTAATGCGATTTATGAGGGCTATGGGACAAGTGGCCTCTGGAGGCGCCGGAAAGTAAAGGTATTACCCGGAATGTCCAGGAGGGGCTAAAGGGTGATGGTTAGCCATGTGGGCTTATGTGAGTAAACTCCAAGAAAAACTCCAGACCACAAAAGATCAAGCAAGTTTCCCTGCTTGGCCACGCTGTGTGGGTTAGTCAGGAGGTCTGCGTCCAGGACTCAAGTGGGACCCCTCTCCACCGGGAAAGGACCATCGGATACTTCCTATTTGGATACCTCCTAATCCCAGATTGGCTCTGTGCTTCCTGTCCTTGGTTGGTTTAAATGCGTATCCTTTCACTAGAATAAAAGTGTAACCTTTGTGCTTTCCTGAGTCCTGAGTCATTCTAGCAAACCACCCAGGGAGGATGGTCCTGGGGACCTGGAACTTGCGGCTGCTATTAGACATGAGGGCAGTTGACCGTGCCCTCCACCGATGCAGTTTGCCCAACACTCTGCACCCTGCTGTGTGCCTTACCATGACCTTCGTCTTCTGCCTACCCCTTTCCAAAAAGGCCTCAACCCTTGCCCTCTCCTTATTTTTCATGAGAATCGGGCATGCTCCCACCCAAGAGCACTGGAAAGCTCCTTCCCAGACATCTGGCAAGTTAAATCTCTCCCAAATTCCAGGTCTTTTATTCAAATGTCACCTTGTTGGTCAGGCCTCCTTTGGCCTCCACCCCAAATTCCCTTCACGCCCAACACCTACCTCTTACCCTGGTTTACTTTTTCCTCTTTGAACATTATCATTATATCCACCAAACTCTAAATTTTAATCTCATCCTTCTGTCTCCTCACTAGACTATCATCCCCAAGGAGACAGGGATTTTGTACTCTGTTCCCTCCTGTAACTCCAGGACCTAGAACAGTTCCTCGCACAGCTTGGTGCACAATTAAATTCTTGTTGAATGAAAGATCTGCATTATCTTCTAGAAGTACATTTTAGAAAACAGGCCACCCGACTCCCACTCTTTCTCCCAGAAAGGCCAAATCTGCAAAACAGGAAAGTGATCATATTTGTCTGGAGACCACTACTGAGGGAGGCAAGGAAGAGTCAGCAAGAGCTGAGTCCTCCTGGAGAAAGCACCCTGGCTCAGGCTGGGCGGGGAGGCAGGGATGCTGTTAGGACTTCGGCAGGTCCCTTCCTGTCGGGCAGGAGCAGATGCATGACACTCATTGGCCCTGATCACTGTGGGGCAGGCCCACTAGGGGAGAGGGACGAAGGGGAGGGAAATTCCTGCTGCTGACAGCGGATGGAGGGAAGACAAGGCCTCACCAGGTAGGGGTGACTTTTATTTGAAGCTAGAAAACACACCCTATTTGGGGATTCATCTGTAACAGTTCTAAAAAAAAAAAAAAAGGAGAGAGAGAAATCAGAGCCCTGAGGGCCTGGGAAGTAGTGGAAAAGGGTAGTAGGTCTGGGTCAGGCCACGTAAGGGAAGCGGAGCAGCAGCCCCTCGTGGGGCCCCAGGTACAGGTGCTCCAGCTCAAGAGAGGTGCCCTCCTTGCGGCCTGGCTGGGTGCTGAGCAGCAGATTCACGCTGGCGGGCAGGCCGGTGCCGGCAGGCGGCCTGGAGGCCCCCAGCCTGGCAGGTTGGCCCACATCCCCAAAGTTGAGAACTATCAGGAAACGCTCGTTCTGGTCCCACTGGCGGATGTAGGAGAAGAGGTCGGGCCCTGAGGAGAGCACGTAGAAGTCTCCGTGCAGCAAGGAGCGCTCCTTACCCCGCAGATCGCTCAGCCAGCGGAACAGGGAGAGGATGGAGCCGGGGTCTTTACTCTGGCCCTGCAGACGGTAAAGAGATGAAGATACAGCTGAAAGGGATGAAGGACTCCCACCAGGTGGAAACTCCTATAAGCCACCAACTCCACCATCCTCCCCACCCCCTAACTCTGCAGGTCAGGCCCTGCCCATCTAAAACCCTTACCTTCACGGTCATGTTGACATCTACAGGTCCTGAGGTGTTGGGGAAGCTGGATTCATCCCACAGCATGACTGGAGCCTTCACAGGCTAAAAAGCAGGGACAACAGGACTTGGAAAAGGCCTGGGCCACTCTCCCTAACTCCTCCTCCCGTGCCCAGCCCCAGGGATGTACAACTGTCCCCTCAGCCTAGACAGCCACAAGCTAGCCCCTTCACTGCCCTCCGGTCCCTGCTCAGTTGCCTCCATCAGGTTTCCTGTGGCCACTCGATATAAAACATACCCTGTCCCCTACCCTCTAGGCCTCTCACCCTGCTTTCTCCTGCACAGCAGGTTACCAGCACCTGGCATCTTTATTATATTTGCTTATTATCTAATCTCACCCTCTCCAGCTCTTTTATGCATTGCTATATCTTCCGTGCATGGCAGATAGGAATTAGTCAATAAAACTTTGTGCACAATAAATGAATGACTGGTCTGTAAATATCAGCTTAGGTGTCAACCTCCAACCCCGGGGCCAAAGCTAAGTGGTGCCTTCACAGTCTGACCCCATCACTGTACTTGCTGTGTACACTTCTCTTACTCATCTGGTTCCCCTGCTAAACTCTGAGTTCCTGGAGGGCACAGAGCCTAACAGAGACCTCACTGTCCACCGAATGAATGAGTCACTGAGTAACGGCTACCATACTGAATGCCCGCGAGGAGTCAGGCATTGCATTTTAAAACATGCCCTCATTTAGTCCTAACTAACCCACAAGACAGACAGTAGAGACATCACAGGAGAGATGACCAAGAGTCAGAGAAGTGAGATAACTTCCATAGGCCACACAGCGACTGACCAGCCAGCTGACTCAAAGGCAGTTCCACCCCAAGGCCCCCGTCTGTCCGCCACCACCCACAGGACCCTCGTAATGGATGAACACAACCTCCCCCGTTGTGCTGGGGAGGCATCAAGCGATACCTGTCCAGGGAGGGCAGCTTCCTCCAGGCCAATCTCATCCCCATAGCTGAAAACTGGGGTCCCTGGCAGGGTGAAGAGCAGCAGCTGGTAGAGTCGGAGGAGCTGAAGCGGCACGAAGGAGGTCAGGAGCCCCGCCTGAGACACCTGCAGGAATCGTGCACTGGTGAGCCCCAAAGCCCGCCGCTGCCTCCACCTCCCAACACCCCTCTCTTCCGAAAGGCCTCCTGCCCCTCTCCCACCTCTGCGGTACTCACACTCCAGCTGCACCAGTGACTGCCAGTGGCGTTCAAATACTGGGTGACCAGGAAACCTGTATGATTCCCAGTGAAACGGGAGTCTGACAGGTACGAGCTAGTCAACAGCAGGTCCTTGGTGGATTCGAGCAGGCTCAGGATCTGCTGAAGGTCGGAGGAGTCAGTGCCTGCAATCAAGAGCCTGCGCAGAGCAGAGCAGAGCAGGAGTCAAGGTTAGTACAGGACACGAAAGAAGAGTGAAGGCGAAGGAGACTCTCTGGACCAGGAACCACTCCCTTTCTAGGGCGAGCACGGCACTGAGAGGTTCCGACAACAGAGCCGAGTTGAGGAAGTAGGGGTCTGGCACCCACCTATCTTCACTGAAGCTCTTGGTAATGTTCTGCCACTCGGCCAAGAATGAAGACGCACCCTAGAAGGAAAAGAGCAGAGTCTAGGAGCAGGGAACACTAAAAGTCCCCGGTAAGTCCCCCTGACCTCACCCAGGCTCCGCCCCTCACATGGAAAGGGTACTCACTGTCAGATTCCCAACGTCCCGAACCTGGATCCCATCCACACCGGCCTGCAGCCAAAAGCTCAGAGCTTCCTATAGAGAGGCCAAAGAAAAGGGGAAAGATACCAACACTCTGATGCAAAGGCTCAGAAAATTCCAGCCTACACTAAATCTTGCCTATTACACACTTCCCCGTGATCTTGGGAGAGTCACTTGCCTTGAACAGTCTCACTTTTTCACCTCATTATAAAGCTTTAGCCTTTGGTCCCTTCCATTCTAACCTATCATTGATCCTCTCAGTGCCATAGCGTTCCACTTTTCTATTCCTCCCCGTGGTGAATCACAAAGCTCTACTTCTGACACCTACAGAAAAGGCCCACAAGAAAAGCGTGTTCATACACGTAACTTCACTTAACACTAAGCACGTGTAGGGTGCTAGAGATGAGGAAACAATGTCAGAGAAGCAAGGAAGCATGCCAGAGGCCACAATCAGAGAGCAGCAGGGACAGGACCCAAACTGCTAAACAAGATCCCAAGACAGGTGTACTTATTCCTCTCCTAGTTTCCTGGGGCCTGGGGAGAGTGTGAGTAACAGAGCCAGTCAGAGCAAGACTAGGATAAAAGAGAAATTCAAAGCACGCTCCAAGGCAGTTTAGGTGAAGATTTGAAAAGAGGAGCCAGCTCTGCAGCAGAGGCCCAGCCCTGAAGCCCCGGCATGTGTGGCACACCTAACACGGAACCCCACTCCCGCTGCCCCCTCTACCCGCCTTTCTCTCCCTGCTCCATGTGCTCTCTAGTCTAGTCTCCATTTTCATCTGAGGCTCCCACACCTCATGCCATATGATCTGAAAACATTCCCTTCTCAGTAACTTTTAAGGGGTCTTCCAGCAATTAGCAAGGATGGAACTGGATGATCCCAAAGGTCTACTGAAATGCTGGGAGTACAGAAGTCTACCTCAGAATCACGGCACCAGCAACATGTCAGGGTCTGTCTCCATTTTTGTCCTACCCCTTCTGAATTGGTCAGTGTCCTAGAACCCAGGTCTCAGGAACTGGGACGACATTCAAATGCTCACTCTCAGCCTGCTAGGTAGAGTTTGAGCCTATACCCTCAGGGAAGGCAGATGAGGAAGGATATAAGACTAGTTGGGGCATCAACTCCCAAGGCACATTAAGCCTCTCTGAACTTCAGCTTCCTCATTTATAGATTACGGGTAATGATAGGAACCTCGTATGGTTACACAGGGAATTAAAGAAGGTACATAAAATACTCGGCATACTTCCAGATACATAGGAAGACCCTGATGCTTCCAATTTCAGACTAGGCTCCACTCCAAAACACATCAAATAAGAAATGGGAAACCAGACAGGACAGGATTCCCACAGAGATAGGGCTTCCTCTCCCAAAAGGAAGAAAATTCACATCTGAGAAATTCCCTTCCTGGCAGTCACCCTCAGAGTCAGAGAAACAAGGAAAATGAGTGGTCACAAAAGAAACAAACAAAAACAAGGATGCACTGCTGGCCTATCCTTCTGCCTGTGGGAGGAGAGTGCCTGTTCGGCTCCAAGGAGCAAGGGATCCCTCGGCTGGCACTGGGCTACGTTTATAGAACTTGCTATAAAAGGACCAAACGGTCCCAGCATCCAACTCCCACCTACCATCAGCACCAAGACACTCACCTTCATCTTGGTTGCCACAGAGCCAATCTGAGTGAACCTGAACCATGAGTTCTGGCCCTTATAGTTGGGAGTGAGATCTAGAATGACCCGGATGCCTAGAACAATGGAGAAAGAGGCAGTTGTGAGAAAGACCCTGGGGTGAGGGGAAAGGAGGAAATCAACAAATACAAGTCAGTAGAGTTATCTCCTACATATTACTTGATACAAAAGCTTAGATTTAAACCCTGGCAAAACTCTTCCCATTGAAACAGAGATATTGGGGAGGGGGCAGCAGCAGTGTAGTGTAATAGAGGAGGCCGAGCTATGGGGCCCTACGCTACCCATCCTCTTTTAAAAGTAAGACAAGATTTTACTTGAATTTTCTTTTCAAAGGATTCACTCTCTTCCAAGTTTTTAAATCACTGATTTAGCAAAAGCCTGCATTTTACAAATAAGGGCACTGAAGCCCAGAAGTTAAATAACTGTACATTCAAGTGTAGAAAGTCTCTGAACTTGACAATTCCATTTTAGGCTGAAGCCTAACAAACCTCCCCTGTACCTGCCCTGGGAAAACTCTGAGCCAGTCAGCAATAAACCAGACAAAAGTCCTATCCCGCCTTTCCTCTGGCCAGAAGGCCAAGCCCTTCCTAGCTGCTTCCTTGCCAACTCTAGGACACCCACTCTTCTTCTTGGCCGATTGCAGGAGGCTGTCAAAATCTTCCTTGGAGCCAAAAGTGGGGTCGATCTCTTCCAAGTTGGTCCCTTCGAGGTCATCCTTCTGGTTCTTGTGAATTGGGCCCAGCACAAAACCCTTCACCTTCAGGGTACTCAAGTAATCAAGACGCCCCTTCAAGCCTGAAATGGAGAAGCATTGTTAACGTGAGGCCTCTCTGAGGCCCCTGATTTCCCCTATTCTCCCAGGGACTATGTGGGGAGATGAGGCTGGATCACAAGACTCAGAGGTGCTGACGTAAGGAACCTAGCACATTACTTCAGAACTTGCCGCGACGGGCACGGGCCCCAAGGCGGGCGGGGGCGGGGAAGGGCGGGGAAGGGCGGGGTGGGGGATGCTGAGTCAGCCACCCGAACGAAAGAGGGAGCTGGAGCGGGGGGGGGGGCGGTTTCCGTCAAAGAAAAGAAGGAGGAGCTACGTTCCGGAGAGCGGTTGCCGGTACCGGGTAGGGTGGAGAACCATCTAAGTCAATCTGGGACAGGGGTTGAAACTGGTGACCGATTAAACTAGGGGCGCGCGGGGCGCACAGCACTCACTCGCTAGGTCGCCAGCGTCGCGGCCCTGGAAGGCCCGAAGGTCGCCAATGCGGTAGAGGGCGCCCTTGTGCCACCAGCTCTGCGCGGGCAGCTCGCGGCAGCGCGGCGCCCGCACGATGATGACCACGGCGCCCGCCAGCATGCCGAGCCAGCCGAGACCAAAACAGCAGCAGCAGCGACCCAGCGGGTGCGTACCCACGGCCGGGGCTCGCCGCCACTTTCAGCAGCTCCTCTTTAGACAGGCCCGTGAACTTGGCGGCCGCCGCCGCCTCCGCCTCATCGTCGGCCACCTTGACCTTCACCAAGCCGTTCTTCTCGGTGCCGCCCGCCACGACCACAGCCACCGCCGCCCCCGACGCCGCGTTCATCGGCTGCTTCTCGGGTTCCATCTCGTTCAGCTCCACTTCTTTCATGTCCACTTCGGTGTCCTGGTTCATTGTGCCTGCGGAACCGGAGACACGACGCAGCCTGCGGTCAGCTGGTGGCTGGACACCTGCCCGGACCTCCCGGCCCCAGTACGGCCTCCCGGGCTTACGTGACTCCGCGCAGCTTCCGCGACCGCGTCTGCTGGGCGGCGGGCGCGGCCTCGGGAACCGGACAGGGGAGCCCCGCCCCGCCCCGCCCCCGCTCGACCCTTAAAGTGGAACCTCCGGAATTACTCTTTCCGGGACTGCCCGGGTGGGCGGCAGAGGAAATAACGTGGGGAACTCGCCTCTGACTGTTGCGTGGTCCAGTTCCTCATCTCGAACCGTCTACCCCTAAAGTTCCTTCGACCTGGCCTCTAAAAAGCCTGAGCACAGAGCCACATTTAGGTGGGCGGAGTCTGTGGTTTGTCCCGCCCCGGATCCCCTCTGGTCCCTCTCGCGTCGAAAAGTGGGCATAAACGGGTCATCCACCCCGTGGGGTTTCCGAGGCACTCCACACTCCGCGGGTTTGTGACTTCCCCACACACCATCCTCCATGTGCACCTGGCCCAGGGTCCAGGCCACCGACGCCTTGTCTTCGCTTGGCCCCTTGCACTCCCAGAGCCAGCCAAACTCAGTTCTGCCCTTCCCCCAACCAGACCTTGTCTTAAGCCTCTGGGACTTGGCGCTAGATCTCCGCTTCCCGCAGGGCTTACTCCCACTCGTCCTTCAAGACATCTTGAGTTTAGTTCAATTAATTCATCATTCAGCAAGTATTTATTGAGAACCCTCTACAGTACCTTGCTTTATTAAGTTTATTGAATTAATCCTAATCTACTCCGTGATGTTTTAAGACAAATCTGTTTGGACAGGAGAGTTGCTGACACTCCCCATCTTACCCTATCCTACCCCCAATTTCCGGCGCCAGGATGCCTGGCAGCTATGAATCCTACATCAGGAAGAGACTGATGGGCAACCTCGGGGTTGATGCAACATTCCAGGGCTGGGCCTCAATTAGAGGCATCCACCTTTTTCTTACAACAGATCAGAAGATGCCATGGCCAGACTCTTCCCCACCTCTCAGGGCCTCCCACAGACTAGCCCAATCTCCCTAGGGTGCCACGGTTCCCTGACCTCCCCATCACTTCACTATGCTAGGCCTTGGAGGCAGCTGTTACCGCAGAGGCCTTAAAGACCACCCAACTTCTCTCCACAGAGGTCCTTGGATTTAGAGTGAGATGAGGTTCACAGCAGGGACTGCTGGACATCAACACCATGAGGTGCCAACACCTTCAGGAACTTCTTGTTCCTGAGCAGTGCCAGCTGGGTTATTTTCAGAGAGGAGCTGAAGGAAGTAAGTTCTTTCTCCCTCTGCCACCTGGGCTGGAAGCCAAGATAGCTGTGTACTGGGGAGAAAGCAAAAGCCAAGATCTGAAGAAACAGCAGACTGAAAGGGGTGCCAAAGGAGAGCAGAGAGAGTGAAAAGGCTCATCCTCTGCCTCCCCTTCCCTTCTTCACACTGAGCCCATCCCCACCCCCACCCCAGGAAGGCTGAAACCAAGTCCTAGAAGGAGGCAGGCAAGCAGGTAGAGGTTGGAGTTCAGATCAGCGCTGAATGGTAAGAAGTCTAAGGTGCCTGGAGCAAGCCATGTAAGTGCCAACCAGGGGTTCTAAACAGACTTTATTACCAGCATGAAAGCTCAAAGTTAAGAACATCTACCCTGGAGATGGTCCAACATAACACCCCTGGGGACACAGTGTCTCACTCACAACCCCCCATGGCTCCAGACAAATGAAACCAATCCCTTCCGCATGTGGTAAAGAAGCTAACAACTTACCTCCCCAAGTTTATCACCCCCCACACCTGCCACAGGGACTGCCCTCCAGCAACATCAGCCTTCAAACAGCTGTCAGTCCCACAAAACAGCCAGCATCTGCATCTTTGTACATGCTGTTCCCCCTGCGTTTTGCCCTTCCTGTTCCGCCCCTCTGCCTTGTAACCTCCAGTTCATTCAACACCTAGCTCAAATGACAGCCTTTCTCAACTCCCCAAAAAATCTACTTTCCATCCACTCTGCATCTACCTCTTCTACCATTCATGTCCCATGTGTTCATTGCCTTTACTTGTCTGAGTGTCTCTACTTCAAGACAAGTGGCCAGGGTCTTGTGCTATTTGTTAGATGGACCAGCCTGCTCAGAGTTAGCATATAGTAGGCACTTAATAAGTCTTTGATAAATGAGCGGGTAAACTATTATCAATCAAACCCAATTATTTCTCTTCTTAGAAACAATTCAACAAAAGTAGCCCATGAAGATAAAGGGATAAAAATGGAAAGGAGTTTAAACAAAACTGTATGGTATCAAGATGAAGCTATTTATGCAGGAAAACAAATCAAGACTTGTAACTGTTCAACCAAATAATAAATATGGGTGAAGGGGACGCAGGAAAGCAATAGGGAAAGACTACAAAGAAAGAGGGTGGCTAGAGATCCTCAGATCCTACAATGTCTGTTGCTAAATAGAAAACTCAGTATTTACTATAGGCTGCAAAATATATAATGTGTTCAAGAAGAATTTAGCCTTCAAGAGAAGGCTGGGACAAAGCAATGAAGAAAGTTACTTCAACAGTCCAGAGGCCAATAAGGACCAATAATGAGGCCACACGTCTTTGGGATTTTACATTCATGCAGGCAGTTGAGGGTGGGGCCCTGAAATTCAGAGGGCCGAGTGTACAGAGAAAGTCCCTTTCTAACCCCTTGTTGTAAAAATTCATGTTACATGTTTCTCAGCAGGTGAGGATTACCTGATCTTAGCCTAAAGATAGGGAAGTTTTTCCCCCAAAAGTGTAGAAAAAGATTTCCAAAGACAGGGCAAAGACGGGAGAATAGTTAGAAACTTAGGAGACTGTCTCTGTCCAACAGATTCTTTGGGAACTCCGCCAAAGCTGAAGGCATGACTCCAAAGACCAGAAGAAAGCACCCAGGCTCTGCCTCTAAACTTCCCATCAGCCTTCAGGAATTTAGACATTTGAAAAAACGGGTGATGGCTGAAGTTACGGAACTGAGCACTAGGAAGTCAAAGTGCAGCTGAGATGAAAGCAGAGAAAGAGGCTGACCCCGACCAAAGGGGCCCACTTGGCAGCTGTTATTAGAAGAGCCAATGCTGAAATAGTATTTGTTATTACAAATCCTGCAGGAGGGACACTGGCTGCTAAAGAGAACTGTCAGAGCTGTCTTAGTGAAGGGTGAGGAATGTGAGGGGGGATAAAAGCCAGAAAGGGTAAACGAAATGCAACCAAAGCCTTCTCTAAGAAGAGAAATAAATGCACCATCTGAAAAGTATCTGATACTCAAATAACATGGACAAATGAACAGCACCACAGCAAGCCATTCTCCCTAATGCAACCAAGTATTAAAAGAGAAACACCACAGATACAGAAAATCAATCTGTGGAAGAAATAGAGAAGTAAGTACTTTTAGCATATTACCCTTGGATAGATGACATCAGATAGTCAACTATCAGAGACAGACTACTGATCTCATCAAAAAGGTTTATTGGTAATAAGAGATTAAATGATCCTTAAAATGATCCAACATCCGAAGTACTCCAGCATCAGCTCCTTCTGCAGTCATGGCCACACAGCACTGGTGGGGATCATCATTTTCACCATCTCCAGTGTCCAGCAAAACTTTTTATTATCACCTTCTTTGGAAGAAAATCACTAAGTGCAGCCACACCCAAGTGGTATGGAGTTAAGCTCTGCCTCCCAGAGCGGGGAGTATCTTCATAAATTATTTGGGATTTTTCTGTACAGAAGATTTGTCTCTTTTCCCTCATTTATTTATCTATTCATTTATTTATATCAGTGTGAATTCTTGGATATTTATTTTATACTTTGGGTTAGAATCCAACACTATATTGCTTTGTTGCTCAAATTATTCCAGCTTTGGCCACCGTGAGCTCTTTCAGGTTGGCTCCTGTATCCTTTTATTACATTCCCCCTCCCAGCGTCTTTCTGAGCATCTCTCTACTTTCTGGACCTACAAGGTGCTACAACTCATCTTGTATATTTGCTAGGGCCCCAGCCCTAGAATCAGCCATTTCTCCAAGATCCTTTGTTCCTTTATTGGAGAATGGTGTTAGAAACCAAGATATAGGAACTCAGGAGTCTTTTGATGAACAAAAATTAGCCATCAAAAATGTATCAGTCTTTCATAGTCCACTTTTTGGATTTTCTTTTTGATGTCCTATTTTTCAAATCTTTCCTTACTTCAAGGCCTGAAAGATACTCATCTATATTTTCTATGCAAAAAAGGAAAGTTTTTGACATTTCAATGCTTAATCAATCTTTAATTGAATTTACTTATGGTATAAAGTAGAGCCAGTCTACTTTTCCCACATGGATAACTATAATTTTTAAAATAGATATATTTTGGGTATGTGAACGAAAAATACTGCAAACCACGTCAGTAAACAAACAATGCTAAAGCCATCAAGTCATCAGCCTCTGCCGCCACGCCCCAGTGAAGATAAGCCTGCAGCCCAGCCTCTGCAGCCACTCACAATGGTGCACTCTGAGGGGACTCAGAATAAGAAAGGACAGGATACTGGCCCTAGATAGCTAGGTGCTTGTCAAAGGAATGAATTCACGGAGCCCAAATGTTTGCTTCCTCCCATGCACAGAAAAGCAATCAATTCTTGAACTTTAGATGCCTAGTTTTCTTTAGATAACAAGTAATCTTTTATTGTTCCAACTACCTGGTCTTTGTTGTAAAGCTCCTATATATCCTAGCTCCTCCCCTCCTCCCCATGATGAGAGGCTGTCATCCCGGCTCGAGTCCACCCGCCAAATAAAGCATAACTCTCAACTTTTAGGCTGCGCATTTATTTCAATCGACAGATCTTTGTCCCTAGTTCCTGGCAGAGAGCTCCTAAGTCCTTTAGAATTTCCTGGGATGTTAGGAATGTCTTCTGTTCTAATGAGGCCACTCTTGGTGGGCTCCTAGATAGCTTCATGATGGGGACTGGTCACCAGAAA